AAGACTTTGTCAAAAAATTCTGGAAACCAAACAGAATAACTTTCTTTAATGCAATTGCTCAATACATACTATAATGTACAAATATGGCTATATCCAAGTAAAGATGAAAAAGTACCTAAACTGAATACATGTACACAGTGCACCTGTCAAGTAAGAAATTGCCACAAACTACACAACACATATGTAAATCCAGGAAGAGTAGGTTATATTTTCGATTAACCTCAGTGTAAGTTGAATGAAGGAAAACTCATCTGAAAGAAAGGCAGAAGTGTGTTAGGCCCAGTCAGGATGCATTACACAGTAGATCTACTGAAAAACAATGCAACATGGGGCTATAATGAAGCCTAATGAGAAATCAATTCTTTGTTTTCACAAAGGAAAAGGTGAAATCAAATGAAGGTCAGTGGAAAGCCTGGGCCAGTTGTCAGCTAATTCCAAATGAGAACAAACTGAGCTACATACCCCTTCAGTATAGGCAATCAATACAATCATCACCACCCCTTCTTATAGAGAAAAATCAATGATTGAGTAACCTTGAACTCAATAAGGAATGGCTCATATTTACAATACTGGAGATGTTTTTTTGTTTTTTTTATAGAATTTTGAAAATAATAGCCATGAATTTATTGAAAAGGAGGGAGAAAGATCAACAGTGATGAGAAGAGAGAAAAATAGAATAATGTAGATAGTTGAAATAAATATCTAGATATGAAAAGAGCATGACAGATGTACAGATGGATATCAACAGAATAAGACAGATGCACAGATGAATATTAATAGAACAAAGACAGATGTGCAGGCAGTTATCAACAGAGTGGTCCAGATGTGCAGATGGGTATTGATAAAGAAGAGTGAAACAGATAACGGAGTGTTAAAGATGTGAACATGGATAATAGAATGGTACATATCAAGATAATGAATAGGGAGAGGTAGATGCAAACAGATAGAGATACACATATTTATATATAAAAAAATTGATATAGATGATATATACAAAGTACAAATCTTGTATATCAGACTAATAGTGTGTAAGTGAATGTCAAAATAGAAAAGTATCTTATGTGTTTCATCCCTTGAATTTATTTGGATACCAAAAATGAAAAAAAAAAATTGTAACTAGCATTTGTTGCATTTCTCACCAGCCTATATATATTATATATATATATATAAACACACACAAATATATGTACAGTGGTGACATCCTACCAGTTTTCATGAACAAATTCTTAAAATTATAAAAGTTTAGCAAACTGGTTGTTGGAGTATCCAAAAATATTCTTATATATTAATAGCCAATATATAATAGCTAAAAATATAATACTATTGCTGTAATTCTATGGTGGCTGAAAGAGGGTTTTTGGGATGAACATAATTTATTCTGAAAAAATAAAACATGTTGAAGTTAATAATGTGGTAAATTTTCTCATCATAGGTCTTCCATTGGATCTTTGGGACAGCAACAATTCAGTTTGAATGTGACTACGAAACCATAGCACAATTGATGACACTAGAGTCAAAAAGTATCATACTTCTGAACAGAAATATTATGGGAACAGAATTTCAATCTGGAAATATCTCAATAAATAGATTTGTTTCTATTAAATTATCAAAATAGTTTAATTCTTTTTGATACTATAAAGTGATTTGTTTCCATTCTCAGACTAAAAAGAAAATAAGCAGAATAGGTTCCTAAAGATTACCTGCTTTCATAGAACTGGTACCTGGAAATTTGGGATGCCATTATTATATATATATATATATATGTATGTATTCGAAAAATTTTGTAGAAAATATGTACTTCTCCAACATATATATAGTTTCAGTTTATACGTTATTTTATAGATATAATTTATTTAAGTAAATGCTTTGTTTTTTAATTAAACACTATTAATTACATTTACCGGCCTGAATGTTCGAGAAATGACAAAGAAAATATGTGCTTCTCCAACAGGAATCGAACCTGGAACCCTTAACGGGAACCATCATTTGATCCTACATGCTGTTAACCATTCAGCCACAAAAGAAAGCTTCTGGTTAGCAAAGTCCGAATTTCTGTTTATAAACATCCACCTTTGATGATTTTTTTCTATTTATCATATCTGCTCATGTCAGATCAAATGATGGCCCCCATTAGGGTTACAGGTTCAATTCCTGTTGAAAAAGCATATATTTTCTATGAAATTTCTCCAACATTCAGTCTGGTAAATGTAATTAATACTGTTTAATTAAAAAACAGACCATTTACTTAAATAAATTGCACACACACACACTGTGGCAGACATGATGAGACAGAACCTGGGACGAGCACAACTGGTTGCGACTTGCCTTGTTCCCGCCAAAAAACAGCCCGTATTTGCTTAGCATGTAAAGCTACTGCAGTTGAAATGAGGGAGAAAAAAGCACTTACCGCTCTGCCGTAATCCGTCCTCGGCCAGATAATGTAAAAGAATGAGGGGGGACTTGCATTGCATTTTTATGCAATAAAGATGCAATGCATTATGAGACAGGGACGCAATGAATTATGGGATCGCATGAAGATGCAAGGGATTATGGGTATATGGACAAATATAAAACAACTAATTTTTCCCAGTGGGGGAGTTCTTTGAGTGACGTTCACGGTTGGTGGCTAGAAAAGTTTGTTAGTGCGATTTTGAGACAGAACTCAAGAAGGAACGACTCGAGGTTGGAATACCAGTTGGGAGAGCTTGAATTTACTCGCTGGTTGCTGTTTTCTTTTTATTCGCCACACACACACTGACTTCATTGATTAAATCATTATTAGTCTGAAGAAGTCTTTTTAAAAGACAAAAGTCCTTTTTCTTTCCATTTTGTCACTCAGTTACTCAGAAATGTTAGAAAGAAAGAAAGATCAGACTTAAATAGATCAGATAGATTTAAGAACAGAATAAGGTAATTATAGAAATAGATAAATATGAATAAACTGATATAAATCAACAATGTGAGATGGAGAGGAAAGGCTTATGGAAATAAAGAGGAAGAGGTGCTGAAAAGTGCTAAACCTGCTAAAATCTAATCAAATGTTCAAATTTTGAGAGCAAAAGGTTTCTTGGGAAATTTTCAGCATATCATTGTAAATATTAACAAACTGAAATACATTGACATGAACAGGAATAAAAAACAAATGTATAGTGAAACTAGAGATATACCAAGGCAACATAAAGGCAATAATTGGGAACAGATTTAGCTAAATAATGAATATACTTTTTGTAATTTTGCAAGGAGTCATTATTATTGAAAGAGTTTTAGTTTATTGAATACATTCTAAGAAGCTGTGTACACTAGATTTACAGACAGTTATATAAGCTGGGTTGCTGTGTATTTGTTTGTTTAGTAAAACAATAATTGGAGAGCAATTCTGCATATAAAAACAATGGAACCATTTGTATTATATGCATTGTTGTGAATGCATTGGTCTGATCAGTATATTTACCGCTCTTTCTTTTTTTTACTATGTTATAGTTTGGCTTGCAATGAAAAATATTTCTTGCTTTTCTTTTCATACAAAATGTATATCTGATATAGGGCAGAGAAGGATCAGCCAAAATGCTGTGGTAACAACAAAAATCCAGAATCTCATGGCAGAATTATGTGCATATCTAAAGAGAAGTTCTCAATGCACGAATTTTCCTAGTTAGAGACATGGTTGGTACTAGGCCCTGCTTTATGGGGAGTCAAACAGATAGTTGTAGGTATTGCTTTCTGATGAACCCATTAGACACTGTCAGGTTTCAGTTTCTCTTATTTTGGCCCACTTACTTTATCACTACTCCACATTTTTCACATTTATTTTCTCCATGAACAAATAATATTTCTGGTGAAAGTAAAAAAAAAATAAAATGATCTCAAATTTGTTTTAGCAACTTTTGGCACTCAATCCATGTGTTGTATATTGAAAATCAAAAAAAAAAAAGAAATTGTCAGGAATTAATTTTTTCTAACAGAAGAAATATTTTATCTGTTATTACAGAAATTGATTAAACTGAACTGGGGAAATTATATAGTAGTGGCAAAGTCAGTGGGTAACAATGAGAAAGCCTGAAACTGTGCCTATGTACTTCTTTCATGTGCCATATACTTTCAAGATGTGTGCAAATATGGCTCTCCACAACTTCCTTTTACTTTTTGCCCTAACTCTTGTCCTTTTTGTTGTATCCTTAAAGAAGGTTACAAACAGACAAAGGTGGTACTCAAGAGGAAGGAACAGCAACACAGGCATAGATGAAAGAAAGAGAGGTTTATTGTAAAAGAGAATACACTACTGAAAGACAGGGAATTGGTTAGCAAGCTAGTAATTCCTGAAGTGAGTCTGCCAGGTATATCATGTGCTCACTGTATATATCTACCAATATAGTCAGTCCACATATGCGACAGGGAGTGTGGGACATTCCATTATAACACCTTTACTACCCCTCTCTATGTTTGTGGTCCTTCTTCTGCCATTTATTTAGTCAAACTTCTCAAGTAAGTTACATGCTGCTTCTTCATGATTCTATTGCCTTCACTGTGTCCTGTGAATAATTTTTCCAAGCTTTCTTTCCTCATTAAGTACTCCCATAATGTCATAATTAAATTCCCTCAATATATGATCACTGTTTAATATTTCTCCTGGATGTCAAAGCTGAATATGTTACTATATCACATTTAATGGTGTATAAAAACAGTCCCTCACCCACTAGCCAAAACAATGAATATATCTCCTAAGTCTTATATATAAAATTGATGTACTGATTCATTTTCTATGGCTTATCAACCTTTTGCAGGTTATTTAAAGCCAAAAAATATTTTTAGATTGTAAGAAGTTTTTTTTTTTAGATATTAATGGTTTAGTAATACTCATTAACTCATAGCTGGGGGTGGGGGAGAATTTACCAAAGGTATTTGTGCATAAGTTAATATAACAGATCCCAATGTGAATTGGAACTCAGCTCTCCAATTAACAGTTCTGAGCCATCATCCATTACACCACTTGCATATCCATGCTTACAGCACTTAATATTCCCAAGCACTCATCCATCTAGGTACTGACCAGGCTCAATATTGCTTAACTTTGGTGATCTTATGAAAACTAGTGTTTCAACAAGATGTGGCCGTAAGCCCTAACATAGATAGTAGGCTAATGTTTACTCAGTCACTGTACACTACCTATATTTGTACCTAGCCTAACTCCCTAAGACTGTAATATTAAAATAAAAATGAAAGATTTTATATGATATTGAATGTAGTATATGAACACTACAAATGAAATTATCGGAATGAAAGTTTTAATAATGTCCATGAAAAGACGGATTATGTAAGCAGCTTATCAATTGATTAAGGGTAAATTGAAGTATGTAAACCAAAAAAAAAATAGACAGAGTCAGAAAGCAAGCAATCAGGATAAGACAAAAAGGTGAGAAAGAAATATTTGATAAATGGCAAGATAAAAGGTGTTGATTTATGAAGGTCATTTTCAAACACATCTGACAATGTTGAACCTTTTATTTTCCTAAAACAGATATTTACAACCATATTGTTTATCCTAACAATGAGAACATTGATATTTTTTCAGCTTTTTCCAAACTGTTCCGCTTTAGGCTAAGTAGCTAATAATTGCACTGACCTGAGGCAAGTTTATCTACATCTGTATTGTTTGTTTTATAACAATCACATCATCCATTTATACCTACTCACATGATTTTTATGCTCTATGTTCTAAGTTTCCTTCACTAGTCTTGTTTTTTTTATCACCTCTCCTGTTATACAGTTCTATGGTAGACAATGCAACCTTTTTCTATTTAGTCATTATAACTTTTATCCTCTCTTTATGCCAAGCTTTTCTTCCTCCCTTTTGTTAGTAATCATTAAACAAGAAATAATTTGGTAGCAATAAGAACTGATTTCTATATTTATATTTGGACTAAGGTCCTCATCTTTGCTATTATTATCATGTTTCAGCCATTGTGCCCAACTTGGCTTTCTTTGGGAGTCTATTGATCTGAGTAACCTTCAGGGAATTTTCAACTGAACCTTTTATTTAATATATAGGGGTGGGGGAGACTCATTTTATTCTCCATATTTAGGGATGTTTCCACTGAGTCTGAGCCTGGATAAAAAAAACACTCTTCAGTGAGATTTGAACTCACATCTCATATTTTTAGGAGTTGGACATTTGTATTTATTTGGTCATAGAAACCAAAAATAAAATCTAGTTATATCTAGTCCTAGTTTTTCCATTAAATGATTAAAAATAAAAACAAATCCTATAAATCCTAAATTAAATAATCCTTCCTAAAGCCTTATAAATTAACACTACAAAATCACAAGCAAAGATCTTTACCAAATAACAAAAACCACATCACATGAACACTTCCAAAAGCAACAATAACAAAAATGTGTAGCACATATAACTAGAAGATAAAATAATAATATAATCAAGTTTCTAACTTTTCACACCAACAAAAATAAAATTTTAGAAGAAAATTACAAAGATCTATAATGACTAATGACCTTGAAAAGTTTAATTTCCTGTAAAACTGTTTTAACAAAAAGATTTTATAAATTTCAATCAGCAATAACACTATCTGTTTGGTCAATGAATGCCAAATGTTTCTTATATAGAAATGGCTAATCTCAACATTACCATTACTATATGGCTACATTCTGCCAATAGTAAACAAACAATATTATGTTAAAAAACAGAAAGGATGTAGGATGTGACTAAATTTAAAATTGCTTATTTGGTCCCTTCAGTTGGAGATCATTATTTCAGCTTCATGCTGCTTACTTTACTTTTCAAAGATGGAGGGAATAAATATATAATACAAGAGAACGTAAAAAGTCCTTGCCATTTTTTATTTATTAGAAAAAAAAGATATAGAGCAAATTTGACATACTGTTAGTTCTCAAAGTAAACCCCATCAGCATCCAAAACCTTTTGCCAACATGCCTCCAGCTGCACAATGCCCTGGCAGTAAAAATCAGATGTCTTGGCTGCAAAGAAGTCTGTGAGCGCCTGCTACAAGTCTGCCTCATTTGCACAGGATTTCTGATGAAGGTGGTTTTCCAAGGAATGGAAGAGGTGGTAAACAGGGAAGTAAGGTGAAAGGCACAGTGTCTCCCAGCCAAGTATGGTATCCCTGGTAATCCATGCCATATGAGGTCTAGCATTGTCATAGAGGAAAAGTACACCATTGCAACAGGCACCAATTCTAACCAATTCTAGCCCCTTCTGCTTCAGTGCCTGTTGCACATATTCCAACTGCCGTGAGTACAGGTTCACAGTGATATTTTGGCCCATTGGTAACATCTCATAGTACACCACTTGTTGACTAGTCTACTAGATATAGAACCTGATCTTGTGTAGGTGTGGAGGTGGTCTAGTGGTGTGAGGCACAGGATACTGTGGTGACAACCAATGTCTGTCACCTATGTGGTACAGCTGAAGTCTGTTTAATCAGAAAACTGGAACCTCACCACAGGTTTGGCTGTTATCCTTCTTTATAGCCACCTTCAGAGCCTCATCATCTAGAGCCTGTAGCCAGTCACTGTGGGGTTCCTTACAAAGGGACAGATTTCCCGACTTGAACTTCTGAAACCAATGCCTGGCCTCACAACATTATCCCCAAAGGCTTAACATATTTTGTGACTTGGTACTGATGTGGACAAGCCCATCTTAAAGTCATAAAGTAGACAACTGCAAACAAGTTGCATGTTTCCTCATCAATGATTGAGAGAGTTATGACTAATGTGTATGTGCAATGCACCTGCATTAGTCAAAAGCAGTGCCCATCACCCCCCCCCAACTGGCACATGATGCACTCATTTACATATCAGTGATCACTTTTTCCTGCATGACATAAAAAAAGAGCAAGAACTTTTTTGGTTACCTTATAAAAAGAATATATAAAATAAATTTTGCAATTTACCAGCGGAAATGGCTTGTCCAAGAGTCTATAATGCTATTTCAGACAAGCTGATCACATAGTTGATTAGAACCTCTCTTCTTACAGGAAGCAAAATAAAAAAAACTATTACTATAAAGCTGATGATTGCTTGCAAGTATGCGTTTTATGGCTAACAAAAATATCTGAACCCAGAAGGTTGCAAATTAGACCTCAAAGCAACTTAACTTGAAGATGAATATAGAATAGGTGGCTATGACCTCTAAGGTTGCTAGATATCATTAAAAAATCAGCTTATAGTCAAAACTGCTATTTCCAGCAACAAATGTATAAAATGGACATTTTTTTATGTCACTACATCAAAACAAAATACAGAATGTATGGTTGTCAGCAAGAAAAACAACCAAGATGTAAGCTACTAATTGATAATATTAAAGGATGCTAAGAATACCATGACTGGAGCATGTGAACAATGAGGAAGTTTTAAAGAAAATGGAAGCACAAAACACATGTAGCTAGAATCAGAAAGAGATAGTTGAAATTTATGGGACACATAATGAAGAAAGAGTGCTTGGAGAATTTGACACTCACAGGACATATTGAAGGGAAGAAAGACAGAGGGAAACAGTACATAACCTAATTAAAGAGCTTGTGTAAATGGATACAAAAATAGGGAATAGGAGTGATAGTAAAAAAACAAATGTTAGGAAGTTGTGGCAAGCCATGACTACCCACATCTGGAAGAGACATGCCACTGAGGAGAAGAAGTGTAAAATGCAATCACTTTAATTGTAGGTGTTCAAATAAACAATTTCTTATTTAAGAAAAATAATAGCTGAGATGCTGGAGGGCAAGTAATTAGCACTATGGAAAATAAAATCAGGAAGCTGAGTTTATAATCCAGCTGAGTTTATAATCCAGCTGAGATAATCTGTGTTCATTTTGCACTAATGCCCTTTGGAAAGGCATGAATAAATGATGCAAATGAAATTGCAAAAATATTTTCCTAGAAAACTTTTACAATTTTAAGAACAGAATTTCATTTTAGATTCCATATTTGTTTAAATAAAATGAACTCTACAAAAACAAATATGTTTATGTTTTTGAGAGGTTTAAAGGGGTAAAATAGAACTTTTTTTAGATTGCTTGACTGCAATAATTCTGATGGGTCAACATTTCCAGAACAAGAGAAGATTGCCAGCGTTGTTTTTTAAAGCATTTGATACAAAGTGAAATCATGTTGTTGTATTCCTTTTAGATATTTAGAAATCTGAGCCAAACCATGGACTTCTGCTAGTTTTTAAATAAAAAAAGATTTTGCATAAGTAGAGTTCACCCAATGTGAACCACTGCTCTGTGGAACTGAATCTCAAGAGGATGTTTTCCCCAGTCACTACAATCTTAACCTATTTAGGTCGAGGGTTAGCAGTTACCTTCCTCTCCTATCCACATAAACTGCCTCCTAATGTAACCCTCTACCTTGAGTGGCCCCAAGACCATGTACAGGGTGAAACTTAATGTAAAAAATTGTTTTTAAATAAGATTTTGCATTTGGTAATTTTTTTCTGCTGAAGTCCACTCAATACAAAGGCTCAAGAGTTACTTCTGGCAGAAGGTTACTAAATGAAGTAAGAAGAGGTACAGTAGAAGGATCTTAGGTTGATAGTGATTACCCTTGACTTGAAGATTGTAATGTTCAGGGAAGTATAATAATGATGTTAAAATCACACACACACACACACACACACACACACACACACACACACACACACACACACACATATATATGCCCCCGAAAAAATAAAATTCGGTCAAGCACTTTAGAGGGAAAAGTGCAAATTTGTAAAGAGTGACTGCTACTGCTGATGCAAAAGCTCTTCTAGAAATTGAGCACTCTGAGTCATTGGTGTGTGTTTGTTCTAAAATAAATACATAAAAATTCAGCTTCCTCTCTGCTGGGGGCTGATAGTTCATGGGAAAAATCTCTAACTGATGCCAAATCGGTTGGTTTTCAATCCTGGCTTGAGGTGATCGGATGTTTAGCCAGACTGATGAGCTGTGGTACAGCAAAACAGTCTGTGGATGACACACACACACACACATATATATATATATATATATATATATAATTCTGTTCCTTAGATCCTCATTAACATAAAAATGTTTCATTAGGGAAATTGAGTTTTCCTTTTATTTTTTTTTTCAAATACAAA